TGAGACCAGACCATGAATAAATAAATGTAAATATCCATTACCATTACATACATGCTATAATATGTTGTAAGGCAATAGTATAATGTTTGGATCCTTTCCTGTTTTTAAAGTTGCTTTTGTTACTCAGACCTGTTTCATATGTTCCTATGTGAGACCAGTTACCAATTAAAATATTAGAACTGCCACTATCGTAAATTTAGAGTCTTAATAACAAAGAATATCCCCAAGCAACATACTCTGAACAGCAGAGGATGAGAATGTGGCCTTATAAAATGGTATCCTGATAGATAAGAGGGACTATTTGTCTTCTTCAACCCCTAAAATATTTAGTTTATAATTTTTGTTCTTTGTATACTTTTGCCTCCCAGTCACTCAAAGAAGATGAATAAGCTGAAATGCAACTGACAAAAGCCAACTTCTCTAGGTGTTGCCTGTCCAAACATGGGTTACATGCATTACATCAGACACCCACACTAACAATGTTCCCTTCATGCTTAGTCCATAGGTTTGGTAGTCCCATAACCAAAATCTGGCTATTCTTACCAATTTTCTGAATATTTATATAAAAATATAAGTTATTTGCTAATAGTTCTCTCTACTTTCTCTTTTTTCCTACTGAATGATTCAAAGACTCAAACATGTATTTTTGGACATGATTGGAAATCAAGATTAATTCTTTTTCTTCCCTAGCTTTATTGAGATATAATTGACATGAAACATTGGGTAAATTTAAGAAGTACAATGTGATGATTTGGTACAATTATATATTGAGAAATGATTGCCACACTAGGGTTAATTAACACCTTCATCACCTGACATAATTACCATTTCTTCTGATCTACTCTCCTAACAACTTTCAAGTATAAAATATAGAATTGTTAACTACAGTCACCATGCTGTACATTACATGCCTAGAACTTATTCATCTTATAACTGGAAATTTGTACCCTTTGACCACCATCCCTCCATTTTTTCCAGACTCCAGCCACACTACCCTCTGTTTCTATGAGTTCAGCTTTTTTTAGATTCCACATATCAGTGAGATCATGCAGAGTTTGTCTTTCTCTGTCTGACTTATTTCACTTAGCATAATGCCCTCAAGTTCCCTCCGTGTTGTTGCCAATGACAGGATTCTCCTTTTCTTATGGCTTAATAATATTCCTGTGTGTGTGTGTGTGTGTGTGTGTGTGTGTGTATCTTCTTTATCCATTCATCCATAGATGGACACTTAGGCTGTTTCCATATTTTGGTCACTGTGAATAATGCTGTAATGAACATGGGAGTGTGGATATGTCTTCATGATTCTGGTTTCATATCATTTGGGTATATACCCAAGAGTGGGATTGCTGGATCATATGGTGGATCTATTTTTAATTTTTTAGGAACCTCCATACTGTTCTCCATAGTGGCTATACCAATTTACATTCCCACCAACAGTGCAGGAGGGTTCCCTTTTCTCCACACCCTCACCAACACTCACCTCTGTTCTTTTTGATGATGCCATTCTCAGAAGTGTGAGGTGGTATCACCTTCGATGTCTAATTGTCTTCAGGCTGATAGCTTATGAGATAAGGAATGTACTTATGTTACTTTATAAGTTATTTCACTTGAAATGCATTTGTGAAAGAGAATGGGATGTGAAATGACTAAAAGCGTGGATCTAAATGTTCTTATGGGCGGTGCCTCTTTGTTAGCTATTTTACAGTATTCTGCAGCTAACTTATTTCTCCTTTCCTGAGGTTGTTTCCCTCCCGTCCTTTATGAAACTTGAAAAAATTAGAGGAAAGAAAGATGGCAGGAGTGGAAGGAGAAAATATGGAAAATGATTAATACCTGTGATGAAAGAAATTTACAGTATTTGTAAGACAGCCAGATGAATGTGTAAAATGATGTTTTGCTTTCTTTATTACCTAGTTGTACGCTTGAAATAAGAACTACCATCATGGGTGGAATACACCTTATAATTTGTACAATGAACAATCCTCGTGAATTTCAATACTTCCGCCAACAATGCTGAGCACTCCCCCTTCTGCTCACTCCTCATCCTCACTCCTACACCCGCCTTTGCCTGCCCCCAGTTCTAACAAGGTTCAATACAAACATGAAATGCTAGACAACATATTCCCATCAACCTTTTTGCTCTTCCAAATACCTCAAAACTGATCTTCAAACATTAGAAGACCTCTACTATTGAGGTATCAGGGGCATTAACAAATTTTGTTTTCCTATTAAATACCTTTAAATTCTACTGTTTTAATCCAGTTGCTTATTGTTTTCAGAGAATAATTTTGATGGCATGACCCCGAAAGAATAGGTGTCTCTGAAGCTTGCTCTTAACAGAACATCTATAACTTTTGAATTCCCTCTTTGTGGAAATTTTGTTTCCCACTGTTTTTCTTCATAGCTTGTATCTCACCTTTACCTTCTAAGCATGACTTTTCTGTCCTGATGGTACACTTATTTGGCATCAGGGACCCCTGATGTTTTATTTTATTAATATCTGGAAACATTGTCTACTAATACTAATCTGGGAAACATTTATTTAACCTTTCTAGTGCTACTGAGGCAGAGGTTCCCAACACAGATGAGTCCTCTGAAGTGCACCTCTGCTTGGATGGCAGTTCCCACAAAAAACCCAGGCAGTAGTGTTTACCTCATCACTCACTGGATCCTGTAACTTGAGGGTCAGTAGCACAGCCTTCAAGTGTTTCCCCTGCCAACGAATGGATGATCTCCATGTTTCTGGAAAAAGATTCACTGGAAGATGAAATGTTCTTGCCTACACAAAGCAACCAATATTGTTTTCTACCAGACAAATTGTGCTCGTTAATGAATAGAAAAAGAATCCTGAATTGGTAGAACTTGAGCTCCTTGACAGCCTGAGAAACACTGTTTTAGGTTTGGGCTCTTTAGTTCCAAAGAGCCCAATGAAAAATAGAACTTAAGCCCAAACTGTTCAGTTTATTTGTTTGAGGTCATGAGAGACATTATTTAATTTACAAAGGAGATAGTCTAGACTTCTGTAGCAGAAACTGTTGACTACCTACCCAAGATCCCTCTCCTGTTCATCCTTGCTGAGTAGAACTCTGATTTTACTTGGAAATTCACCCTTTCTTCAGGTGATTCAGGGATTAGACTATCAATTATAGCAACTTGAATTCCTATATTTCCATGTCTTCTTATAAAGTCTGACTTGCGCCAGTCATTCATTGACTATGGAAGGGTGGAAAAGAAAAATTTGAGTCCTGGGACGTATCACTGAATGGCTAAGTCAACCGACCCTTGAGATGTTCCGCTTTGGACGTCTTGATATACGAAATATTATGTATTCCTTTTCATTTAAGACATTTTATTACAGGTAAAAGCATCTAATTACTAGACATGAAATCTAGGTTGATATAGATGGTACTACAGAGAAGAACATTTAAAACAGGTATTTCCTGGTTGTTTATGTACAAAAATGACACAATTACAGCTGGGATAAGTGATTGGCAGTAGAGTTTAGGAATTAAGATAAAAGATTTGAAAATCTGCTATATCTGTGTTCAATTACTAATTTTTATATTGACTAGTGTGAGACTTTGAGAAATTGCTTAATCTCTTTAACTATTAGTTATTACTTCACACTCCGTCCCCCCATTTTCTGCTCAACACAAACATATTTCTAAAAGCAACTTGACTTTGTTCCTCTGTTTTCTAGGGAACAGTTCTTTTCCTAGGCATTAGCAAGCCTGCAATAAATGGCAGTGACTTGGAAATGGAAAGACCTACATTCTCTTCACATAACTAAGAGAATTAGCAGCCATTGGAATATGGAGAGCTCCTTGAGGGAGCTTTGTGATTCACCAAATTATTCTTCCCTGTTTGAAAAGATAAAGGATGGCTTTTCTGTTACTCCAAGTAAACATAGCCAAATGTTAACTTTAAATTTGATTTAATGTAGACAATTTGATCTGAAGTATAGTGAAGAGCAATAGATCTGATACCAACAGGTAGAAAATGTTTGACCTTTAATTGTAAATATATCACTAAATATATGTTTCTGTTCTTGAATATTTGAGTCTCTGTGTCACTACAGATAAAACTAACTCATGTGTGTTCTTAGAAATGGGTATAATGTGATTGCAGAGAGTTAAAAAGCACATATGTATCAACAACTTAACAAACATCTTTTCCACAATTTTCTATTCACACTTATATTCTGATGTCAAATCAGGCCAAAAGTAACATTATAGTAACAATATAGAAAGTAATGATTATCATGTTACTTTATTATTGCAGAAGTTCATAATAATTAACATAGGAAAAAATTAAATTTACAAATGAAATATATCATTGAAATGCACATGGATTTTTTTGGCCAGTGTAGTTGCTTTACATCTTTATGAACATGACATAAAAACATCAAGTTAACAAAGTACAGTTCAATAGTATTCAAATTACAAAAATCCAAAGATATCACTTCTGATTTTTAAGACTAATCATCTAACCAAATATATTTAGAAACTTAAAGTTAATGCTAATTATGTAGTTGATGATTTGGAAATGGATATACAAATGACACATATACTGGTTATTTTTATTAGCAGTTTCCTTTTGGCAAGTTAATAGGTATTTATAAAACTGATCAGAAAATATTCTGCTAACTATAAAATGTTATATTATGATACAACAAATTATTCTTATATGGACTCAAATTTACTATGAAACAAATCACGCAGAGTGTAGCTTAGAATAACATTATTTTTTGCCTTCAAGGGTAATTCTGTAATTCTATACTAGTGTCCAAAGATACCACTGTAAATTTATACTTGAATTTTTTCCTAAGAAAAAACAAATCTAACATCATTCCAATTATTACACCTTACATGAACATACTTAATGATCCAGTATCATTAAACCCATCCTAACATTTTCTTTGTTGACAATGGTTAGGATATTCTGTTGACTGGCTACAAAGACTTGCTTTAAAGAAAGTGATTGTTAATTATTCGTGACTCTCAATGAATCATGAGTCCTCCAGGTATTTGGATTGGTGAAGGGTCTCTTGTTTTGACTTGATATTCTGAAGGTTCTATATAAAAGTAAAAGTAAAAGTTAACAATATGCTATTTTAAGGATTTTGAAAATGTGTCTGTGCTTATTTTTTGGTTGAATTCTATGCCTGGAGGGGAAGATAATTAAGTTTTTGAATGTAAAGTTTCAAAAGTAGAATATTCTATGGTCTTTCTAAGTATCATGCACTTAACTATGATCTCCAAGTAACCATTTTCGAAAAGAAAAATACTTTTTTTTTCTCAAATATTTAAATTTTAATCATTGGTTTCACTGCAAATTTCTTTGAAGATTTAGGGCTGTTTTAATTTAGCATAACATGGAGCAAATGCAAAATCCTTCATCTTTACTGCAGAAGGTATTCACATGGATTAGACTTGCCCACCAGGTGAGTGGCAAGCAGCCTGCTTTATGAAGAAGGTATTATTGATCTCCAATGTGAAGTAACACAGGTTTTGTTGTTACTGATGCTTCTGTTTTGTTTTGTTCCTTCTTTCCATGATGGCTTTTACTTTTGTCATTTCTTAACCCTGGGTCTGGATCTTTCAGATTACATGTAAGGATCAAATTTAAATTGCATGGAAAATAATTGGTAACTAAATGTAATATAATAATAATGGTATAATATAATTATAATATATTACAATGTGATAGTATAACTAATAAAAAGATTATAATATATAATATGAATGATTTGCTTTTAAATACATATTAGAGTCAATTCAAGATTTTTGCCTATAACACTCCTATTGTCATCCAGTAAAGAAATATATCTTTCTCTGCAGTCAAGAAAGGAGGTTAAATAACAGCTGATATATAGGAAATTTTGAGTAGCCATATAGGCCTCATCCACCTGGGGCACAACAGTAATGTGTAAAAAAACCAAGGTGGCAGATGTGAACTTTATACATTAAGTGAGTGACTAAAACATAAAGATTGAAAACCTTTAAGATTTTTGCTAAGCTAGAAAGTTTTTTGTGCTTCTCTCAAACAATACCTCTGTGATGGATATCTAGGCAGGCCCAGTAACTGAACTATGCTTGCAAATATTTTAAACCAAATAAAGGAAAGTTTAATAAATTCCAAATGCTATTTTTCCCCCTTGAAACTGACTCTTATTTGTTGGCCTTTAAACTATATCTTGGAACTCAAAGCATATCTTTTCATACAAATACAACTTTTAAGGCCTTGGAGAGAAGCAGCGTGTTTGGTATTGATATTGGTCAGCATTAAATTAAATAGAAGAGCTGGGTCTAACAAGGGAATATGTTTAGCTGGGATTACTTTTAAAAATAAGTAAGTTTGAATGTCTGTAGACAGAGCACACACCCATCACGTGCCCAACTCCTTGGTGCCATACACCTTCCCCACTAAATTTTGCACTTGATCTGTCTGGTCATCAAAGCCTTGGAGTCTGAGGAACCATATGTGTACAAGCATCATCAAGTTTACTGACTCTTCTTCTCTGAGCGTCATGAGATCAGAGAAATATCCACCACCTCTGCTGCCCTCAGGCCTAATCTTACTGATAAGTATATTTTATGTGTATGTATATAATATATATGTATATATACACTTAATATATATATTTCTTCATTAACATTTATGATACTCAAATTATACCTCTGTGATGGAATATTTGTATTCCATTTTGTATACAAAAATGTATACATTTGTATCATGAATAAGCAAATGAGCAGCATTGATATTTAAATATGAGGGGTTTTTTTAAATTAAAACTAAGCAACTGAACACCACTTTATATCTATTTGTAAGTGTTATATAAGTAGAAATATTTTAAACCCTAGACATGTAGAAATCTAGAAGTTGATGTATCTCTAACCTGAGGTCTCACATTCACAATGAAGGCAGCCAAGGAAACAGAAGATTTGGAAAGAGT